TAACTACGGATAGTGGACATGGGCTCTTTTCAGGAAACTCCTCATAGCACTGTTTCTACGACCAATTGCACACAGGAATTCTCTGTGCACAGACACCAAATTAGGATGGATGCTGCTTAGGAAATTTAAAGAAAGAAAGAAAGAAAGAAAAAGAAAACAGTAGAGCCTGTGCTCCATTTCCTGGGCTTTTTATCTCTCACAATCATTATGGCAACTGGGCAGTGAGGCAGCAAGGCAATCACTCGAAACACCTGTTGAGACTTCTCAGTCTGGGTTTCTCAGTGACTGGAATCTTTCATTCCGTCTTTTTTTTAGATTGCCTGCCAGGATGTTCTGGGTGTCAAGAGAGACATCCACTCCCCTACCCTTCCCTCCTGTGTTTTAACTGAGCTGCTTCCAGTACCCCTTTGTGCCTTCAGGCTGTCTGGTTCTTCAGCACTTCTGTTGTGTGTGGTGCAGTAGAACAGCCTTTGGCTTTCTACAGGAGATGGTATATATGACTTACTGAGCTTACTTAAGGTACTGCTTTAACTGTATAGTTAGATCATGAGCAAAGCTTGTATTTGGAAAAAGTATGGGGGTGCCTTCCTTTTGAATTACCAAACAGGAAGGGGCAGTAGGTCAGGTTTGTTTTACAGACTTCATTATTTCCAAAAAATATACCCACTTAGTCATCTTTTCATTCATACCTATATTCTCCATTTAGCTTAGAGCATCAAGTGTTTCTCTACAGGTGGAAGACAACTAGTGAAGGAACATGACAAAAAAAAAAAAAAAGTGAGAATTTCTGTGCAGAATATATAAGCAATTTTAACATTTCTGTCAAAAACATTTCTGGACAGGGGAAAATGTAATTTCTTTTCTGTAACTGGGCAAAATATGATTTGTGTCTCTCTTCCTAGATGTGTATCATAAGCATCCTAGTATGCTACAGTAAGATGAACTGGTAAGCAATAATTAACAAATTTTAATTAAAAAAAAAAAGGAGTGCAATTTCTCTCTACAGTAAAGCAAGAACTCAGTTAAAGTGCATTTGATACAGTTTTATATGTGCTCATTTTCTTTAGTAAGCTTGTCTGTCAAGAAAATGGTAACATCCTGAAATGATATAAACAGCAACTATTGGCTAAATCAAGGATGCTGTAGAGTGACCTGATGTACCCACTGCATGGGGTGGATATAATTAAGTAAAGTACCCTGATGTTATTAAATACAATTCCACTGTTGTCCCTCATGAATATGTACTTAGCGCAGCACCCCCCAGAATTACCTTTCATTCCACAGGTCCTTGGGTCTATTCATCCAGTCTCTTTCCTTCTGTGTGCAACCAGCAATCCCCTTCTCCATCTGCCACTGACAGAATCTGATGCCAACTAGCCACAGCTCTTCTGATGCCACCTTCAGGAGGAGTCTGTGTTCTGGCATTTCCTCGGCAGACTCCAGGTGCATAAACCTTCTGGCAAAAGAGAGGATTTTTCTCTACCCCCAGGGTACAGCCTTCTGCTAGCCATGATCTCTAATGATTCACTAATAGGTCTTAGTGACATCAGCTATCCCACCATCTCCCACATGGCCTTTCCTCTTGGAAGCAGCACAGTTCTACTGGATGAAAGATCACTTCAGGTACCATCCTGGGTGTGCCAAACTTCCAAATTTAATTGCATACCTGCAGGCACATCTGGGTAGTATGTGAACAGTTCACAGCACTGTGTCTCAGCATCCTGCTTTACTGAAGAGGGTGTGTCTCATGCCAGTGTGTTCGGCTTTCATAACAAACTTCAGCATATTCTACTAGTCTTACAGTGTGAGGAAGAGACAGTATTTGAGTTTTGAATGTTCTTTTGATTTGGAACAGAGATTTGGAATAGGTAATGGGTGATGCTTAGCACAACCCTGGTCACAAGGCTGGGCAAGTCGTTTACACAAGAAGAATTAATGTGAGTGTACTTCTGTGGTCACAGCCTAAGAGCACACTAACACTACAACCTCAAAATTGTCTCATTTGTAGGCTGTTCCCTACACAATTTTATTTACTCAGTTCATCTCTCGGTCTTTGGTGTTTTCCTCTGATTATGCTAAAAGCAAGCACACTTTCATTCCAAGAAATACTCTGCTTCTGTCATTTGAATTCATAATTAGCTGTAATTTTGAATGAATGTTTAACTCTCTCTTGTAGCAATTACTAATGAAGGACTCTGGTTGAACCTGCTAGTTTCAGGAAAAAAAGCAACCCTACCTGTCATATTCCCAGGATCCTCCAAGTAATTGCAAATTGCTGCAGTTCCTCTTCACTGACATTAGATTGCTTGGCTCTCCCAGTTTCTCCACAAAAGTGTCTCAAGTATTATTACAAGTATCATTAATCCCTCTCCTTTTCTCCTTAGCTCTCATATTTTGCTTATATTTTTTCCCTCATCTGCTGAGTTTTCTCTGCATAACAATTCACAAGGAAGTGACTGTTAATCTACAAACAGCACTAAGGGAAACAGCATGTTCCTTGTACTGGAGGGGAACAAGGGGCTCAGTCTTGAGTTTGCAGGCTGTGTGGGAAACTACATGGGCACCCTGATGCACAGCCATTTCTTTTTTAGCGCTACAATCCAGCTGCTGCTCAAACTTTCCCTTTTAAGTCCCATTTTAGGGCAGTCTCAAACACTAAGGTACGTGATACGCAGTGTACAGAAGAGCAACTCAAAGATTAGTTTGAATGCTTATCTAAAGCATGGTGGGTGGTTAAGACAGATATGGTACAGAACGAACAAGAGTAAGAGTTGCAGGAAATGGGTTTTCTTTCCTGTGGAGGAAATGCCAAGGTGCACAGAGATAAAAGACACTGGCATGTAATTAAATAAAAGGTTGTGGCCATCCTCGTTTCAGTTACCACTTTGCCTAGAGTACTAAATTTTCATGGGATCCACATCGGAGAGAAAAATACATAGAGGGGAGAAAAAACAAGTATAAAGCAAGGGAATGGAAAGCACAAGAACTGAAGGCTATGCTGACTGCAAGACTTCATTTGGAGTACATTCGATGCAACATAAAAGCTCTTTTTGGTTTCTAACAACTGTGGTGAAGAACTGGCTGAACTGAGAATCTATCACTTACCAACCACTTCTTACTCAGTCAAGGGCTCTCCAGCTGCAAGGAAATGCTGTTGGTGGAAAATGCATTAGCAAAATATTTTGTTGTTTGTTGTGGGTTTTATTTTTTAACTAGAGAAGGTCTGAATTCAATATTTTTGAGAAAGCCCCAAGGTTTAACAGCACCTTTCCACTGCTGTTATGTCAGGGTTTTTTTTATGACACAGTACTGTGTAAATACAGATTTCAACCAAGTTGGTCAACTTTCCTGTCCCAGCTGCTCTCACACTTGCTCACAAAGCTGCAGCAGCTCACTAGCTTGCCAGGCTCTTGCCCCACTTGACAGTTGCAGGAGGGAAAAGATTCACAGGGAATGCTGTATTTTTCCTTCATGAACTCAAATGTTTATTCAACCTGAAGTCTTGTAGTGTAGTATTGTACTGGTCTACGGCTCTTGGGCATGGCAGCCCATTATATCGTGATTTGAAGTAGGGGAACTGTACTTTTATTTTGGCATTCTCCGTGGGGACACCTGCAATGGAGCTGAATGAAAGCAAACCCTGCACTTGCACAAAAAGCTTGCGCTGCTTTGGAGGTACAAACCTACTTTCAATTGATAAATAAATCATCAAATCACAGAATAGTTTGGGTTGCAAGGGACCTTAAAACTTTTTTAGTTCCAAACCCCTGCCACGGACACCTCCCACTAGACCAGGTTGCTCCAAGCCCTGTCCAACCTGGCCTTGGATGCTTCCAGGTAGGGGGCATCCTCAGCTTCTCTGGGCAATGCAAATAAAGCCAGAACCCTGTCAGCCTGGTGCTGTTTGCAGGTGTTTTCCTGTTTTTCTACAAAGATATTCAGAGATGAAGATCCTAAACCTAAACCACCAAAATTTCACTTCACATTATATCCTAGCTCAAGCTTAGCTGGAGCTGAGCCTGTGTAGTGCGTGCATGTTTACGTATTTCACATAGATAGATTTTCATACCTTCACAGAATCATTTAGGTTGGAAAAGATCCCTGAGACTGCACCCAACCTTTGACCCAACACCACGTCAGCAGGACAAGAGATCAAGCCCCGCCTGGCTACACCTTCCTTTCAAGAAGTTTTAAGGGAGTAAGGTCTCCCCTGAGCCTCCTTTTCTCCAGGCTGAGCCCCCGCAGCTCCTTCAGCTGCTCCTCACCAGACCTGTGCTCCAGACCCCTTTCCAGCTCTGTAACCCTTCTCTGGACACGCTCCAGCACCTCAGTGTCTTTCCTGAACTGAGGAGCCCAGAACTAGAGGCAGCACTCGATCTGCGGCCTCGCTGGTGACCGCTGCAGAGAGAAGAATCATTTCCCTAGTTCCGCTGGCCACGGTACTGCTAACAGAACGTTTCGCCAACATTCAGAAATTCAGACAGTACACTTCTAACGCACGCCGCGGAACACAGGGTGCCACAGGGACACACCCACCCCAGGGGCGGGCAGGGGAGGTGACCCCTCACACGGGCGAGGCAGCACCACCCACTCCCGCCATCTTAGGTGCGGGTACGGGCGCCGGCGTCGGGCGCCATGGCAACGGCGGCCATGTCAGGCGAGGGCAAAGCGGCGCCTCCATGACGCGTGAGGGCGAAATGGTGGCCGGAAGGGGCGGCCGTTGGCGGCCATTGCCGGCTGGACGGGCTGAGGAGGTGGTGGCGGCGGTTCCGCGGCGGGTCTGTGGGGCGGGCCGGGATCCGGGCCGGGATCCGAGGAGAGCCGGGAGGTGGCAGTGCGGGGGAAGGAGGCGGTGGCTCGGTGGTGGAGGCTCCACACGCCCGTGGAGGGAGGGACGGGGCTGGGGGCTGTGCGGCTGGCGGGGTGGGAGGCTCCCGGGGGAGCGGCAGTACCGCAGGGGTCCCCATGGGCCGGGGGAGGGCGGCGGAGGTGTGGGAGCTGCTGGGATATGTGGAAACTCGAATCACGGAATTTGTAGGGTTGGAAGGGACCTCTGGAGATCAAACAGTCCAACCCCCCTGCCAAGGCAAGATTACCTGGAGCAGGTGACGCAGGAACACGTCCATGTGGGTTTGGGATGTCTCTAGAGAGGGAGACTCCACGCTCTTCCTGGGCACCCCGTTCCATGCACTGCCACCTTCAGTGGAAAGAAGTTCTTCCTCATGTTGAGTGGAACTTCCTGTGTCTTAGTTTATGGCCATTACTCCTCATCCTGTTGCTAGGCACCACCAAAAAGAGTCTGGCACCGTCCTCTTGGCACCTGCCTTTGAGATATTTATGTGCATTGATGAGATCCCCTCTCATTATTTCCCTCTGTAGACTAAGCAGCCCCAGCTCCCACATCTCTCCTTCAGAACAGGCCGGTGGTAGGGGAGGGGAACACCAGGAGGACAGTCAGTCTGTGATAAATCGGTGTAGTTTGTTTGGGGAAGGAATAATGTGAATAGCTTGTGACAGAGAGAAAAAGTTGAGTTCCTAAAGGACAGAAATTGAAATTTGTGTTAAGGAGCTCTAGATTTGATCTTCCAATGGAGTGGGCTGTTTTTCCCCTTTCTCCTTCCATGCTTAAGATATTCCTACTGTGCTGGACCTGGAGGCCATGGAAAAATCCCTTTTAGGCTTGTGGACAGAACATTGCTTGACTGGAGTTCCTACTGGGGAGTATAAACTCAAATGGCAGCTTTTACATGTGCCCATGTACTTTTGTGATTCTGTGATTCTGTGTCTGTACATCAGGGTTTATATGTATGTGGTAGAGTTTCTGTACTGTAGCAGGAAGAGCTGGTGGTAGCAGAAGTAGTAAAACCTTGAGATTTGGTGTAAAATGGTAGGATGTGAGAAGGGAAAATCTCATTTGAGTTTGAATTTATAGGGCTTGTCATCAGAAATCCTTTTTTTTGAAGTACAGTCTGGGAATCAAAGCTTATTTTGTCAGTTAGTTTGCAGAGCAGAACAGCTCTTCTGTATCAAACAGGAAATAAATGTGACATTTAAAAAAGGGTACATTGCTCGGTAGAGTTCTTTACTTCTTCTGTGTGTGAGCAGCAGAAGGGGTTGTTAAGCATTGGAATGGGCTGGTCAGGGAGGTGGTGAAGTCACCATCCCTGGAGATATTCAAGGAAAGATTGGATGGGACACTTAGTGCCATAGTGTAGCTCTCAGGGTGATGATCAGTCAAAGGTTGGACTTGTTGATCTTGGAGATCCTTTCCAATCTAAAGGATGAAAGAGAGGGTCTGTGGTAATAAAAAATCAGTGGGTTGGGTTGTAGTGTACAGTGTGAGGAAGAGGGGAGAGGGGGAGCTGGAGCTTCGAGGGATGGTGTCAGGAGACAATGGAAGGGATACTTTGTGGACAAAAAACATGAAAAGCAGTGGTCACTGGTGGCTTGCTCTATCCCCAGGGTAGAGCTCTATCCCAGGACTGACAGGTAGTAGATGAGATGTTTTTAGTGACTGCTGTTACCCATCCTCTCCAGTGCCCTCGTAATTCCAGTTAGGATAGGCTGCCCAGAGACATTGCTGAGTTTCTGTACCTGAAGATACTCAGGCTGCCTGGACAAGGCCCTTGGCAAACTACTTTGACTGACCTTGCTTCCTTCAGGAGCACTGGGCAGGTGACCTCCAGACATCCTTCCCAACCTCAGCTGCTCTGGGATTCTCTAACTAGTCCAGTGCTTTTCAGAGCATGTTAATTTAGGGGTAGGTTCTCTTCAAACATGTCTGCGTCTCCAGTAGACAGGAAGGCTCTTGGAATGGGTCTTTACAAGCCTTGACTGGGAGGTTTTTTTCAGTTCCATAGCATTTGTAAGAGCTGTTAAGTTCAGGTCTTATCTCCAAGGTGTTGCTGTCCTGAGCTTTGACTGGCTTTGCATGTAGATACAATAAGAACAGTTTGGTTGATGTGAACTGAACTTGGTGCCACATACACAGTGTCAGCAGTTTGTTGAAATCTAACCCTGATACTTTTTGTTAATACAGAAAAGCAACAACTGAACCTGCATGAAGATTTTTTTCCAAAGTGTGTGATAAGGTACAGTCTTCCATGTAACATTACAGAACAGTGGGTTTTCTCCCTTGAACTTGTTTTTTGTAGTGCAGATCCTAGTGGTGTCTTTCACCATTTAACATTTGGCCAGAATGTGCAAGTCAGCACAGGCAGGCAAAAACTCACAGCTAGAACACAAAGAATAAATTTATTTCCATTACCTTGCTAACCTTGGAATCTCCAAAGCAACACCTGGGTACAGGTACCCTAGCCTGGATGTGCTACTGTTAAACTTGGTCCATGCCAGAGGATCACCACCCTATCAAGGCTTATTCCCAGCTACAGGGTCTCTTGAGTGATCTACAGTCCTCTTCACCTATATTTTCCGAAACCATGAGAGTTACATGATCTGTTCTGTGTTGCGCATCTTGTTACTGTGATGGATTGGTATGTTAAAAATCCCAAATCAAGTTGGTTGGGTTTTTGTGTTTTTGGAATTTGTTCAATAATGTTCTTTTGGGTTCAGGAAGAATTTGGAGAAGGTGGGAACCTGTTTTCTTCAGCCACCATGTCTGGAATTGGCAATAAACGGGCAGCTGCAGAGCCTGGCCCTTCTGCCCCTCCAGAGAAGAAGACAGGGGTTGAGGATTCGGGGACCACAGTGGAGACTATCAAGCTTGGTGGTGTTTCCTCAACAGTACGTCCTCCTTGCACACCCCCATTCAACCTCTTGCACTTTTTCATCTGGAAACAAAAACGTGTCTGTGATATGTCTTGTGTGCCACATTTCCCTGCACAGGAGGAGCTGGACATCCGGACCCTGCAGTCTAAGAACCGGAAGCTCGCAGAGATGCTGGACCAGCGTCAGGCCATTGAGGATGAGCTGCGAGAGCACATCGAGAAGCTGGAGCGCCGGCAGGCCACTGATGATGCCTCTCTGCTGATCATCAACCGATACTGGAACCAGGTTGGTTTGCTGCTTTTTATACATTGTTCTCTTCTGTACCACTGCACTGCTTTTATTCACATCCATTCTCTATCTTGCCTTGCCTGTCCTATCATTCAGTTTGACGAAAATATCCGCATCATCCTTAAACGCTTTGATCTGGACCAAGGTCTTGGAGACCTTTTGTCTGAAAGAAAAGCGCTGGTGGTACCAGAACCTGAACCAGACTCTGACAGTAACCAGGAGCGCAAAGATGAGAGGGATCGAGGTGAGGCACTTTTCCGGGGACAGTGGGAAAGATGGATTTCAGCTGTGGACAATGCTATGTCCCTTTCTAAAGGGTGACAGAGGCTCTCTTTTGTGACTGTGGAGATTATGTGTTATATGTTATTTACTGGATAACATTTACCTTCTGGCACCTCCTTCTGTTCCCAGGGGAAGGACTGGAGCCAGCATTCTCCTTCCTGGCCACTCTGGCCAGCAGCACCAGCGAGGAGATAGAATCCCAGCTGCAGGAGCGTGTAGAGTCTTCTCGCCGTGCTGTTGCCCAGATTGTGACAATGTATGACAAACTGCAGGAGAAAATAGATGTTCTGTCTCACAAGCTAAACAGTGGAGGTATGACCAAGGTGGCAGGTTTTCAAGAACTCTCACCTTAGTTCTGATACTACATTGTGCACATTTGTTTCATTGTGCACATAGTTTGTTTCATGCTCGTTTATTTTCCAAAATAAATTGGCCTGGCATTCTGAACTCATTATACAAAGCTCTAATGAAAGTCTTTATGCCAGAAGTGTATTGTAACTACCTCTAAATTTGAATGTTGAGAGCTCTGCCCAGAGTGTTGGGCTGAAAAAAAAGCTTGTTTCTGCCAGTAATGTGTTCATGCACCTGGGAAATTACAGACTGCAGTTGAACCTTATTGCCCTTCTATCCTTGGCCGTCATGTAAAAGGCTTTATGCCTACAAGGGAAGAAGTGAAATCATCATTACAGACTGGTGTTGGACTCCTTCTCACTGGCAGTTTAGTAAAAGGTATGGGAAACCAGCTGCTCAGTTTTCACTGAGTTTTGAGCAAAATGGTGCCCATCTAATGTCTTGGTGTAGCTGTCAGTTTTAAACACAGAGTTTAAAGCCAAACAGAGTTTAAACACAGAGAAAAGCCAAATGACTAGTCTCTAAAAATCAATGTACCAGATTCACTTTACACTCAGATGGCTGTCTAAAATTCTAATCTTAAGTTAGTGTTTTTTAATCTTTTGACTGAAAACTTGGATGGCGTATGAACTCATCCATGGTTTGTCTTCTGTCCAGACTGTTCTTTGTGCTCTGATCAAGGAGTTCTGACAAGTCTGGCATTGTTGCAGGGAAGTGTTACTGTCTTTAGCTGTAAACTGTCAAAGCTGTCTGATGGAGATCAGGCCCTTGGGAACTCCCTGTGGAAGCAATACAGTAAACACAAATTAAACCCCGAAATTTCCTTTTCTGTTCTCTTCTTTCGCTCTTTGCTGTTTAAGAATTAAAATCAGTTTTCCTTGATTTCCGTTGATTTACTTTTCTTTGTGCGTGTTTCAGATATTTCATTGATGGAAGAAGCAGTACTGGAGCTTAACACCTACCTGTCACATGAAAATGGACGGCTGCAGGAACTGGCTGATGTTCTTCAGGAGAAGCACCGGATCATGTCTCAGGAGGTATGAAGAAGACAAAGAAATCTGCTTTGGGGTCCTACTTATCATAATTTGTGGTTGCTATAGTCTGGAAAACAGATTATTTCCTTGGAGAGGGACAGGAGCAGCACAATTGGAAAGTTACAAAAAGGGTTATTGTAGTGGAGAACTGTATGTAGATTTTCTGTGTAACTCAGATTGATTTGCTTGTAACGTGGCCATAGGGAAGATATAACCAAATCAGTGAGTTGAATGGATTCAATATTAAAAGATAGCAGAGCAGAGTAAATGGAAAGGTGATGCAGAGGGGTTGTGTAAACACCTAAGGCACTTGACGTGACATCCATGTAATTCTAAATTCCTTAGTTCCTCTGCATCATGCATGAAAGTGTAATGACATCAATTACAAGATGATCCCAGTCACTAAGGGATTCACGTTGCTGGCAGTATTTGTTTTGGAGGCTTCAGTTTCTTTAAAAATTGTGTTACTGCTGATCTTGGTCATGTTAGACCTCTGAGCACTTACACGGTCTGTAGAGTAAATGAATGGATTGAAAAGTAAATACGGATTGAAAAGATTGAAAATAAAGCCTTTGAATACGCTGAGATGGCTACCTGTGTATTTTGCCAGCTATTACCATTTTCAGTTTTGTCTTGTTTTTGTCACTGTCTTGTGATTCAGGCAGAGTAAAATTCAGGACCGTTCATGCAGTCTGTCACCACAGCAAAAAATGGAAAGGACATGATGAATTAGAGAAAAATTATTATTGAGCCGTCTCAGAAAAAGCTGATTCTATTCAGTGTGCTGGCTGAAACACTCTTCTGATTGCAGTTCTCCAAGCTGCAAGAGAGAGTGGAGACAGCAGAATCCCGTGTGTCTGTTCTGGAGACGATGATTGATGACCTTCAGTGGGACATCGACAAGATACGCAAGAGGGAGCAGAGACTCAACCGCCACTTAGCGGATGTTCTGGAACGAGTAAGCACTGCCCTCTTTCGCAGGACACCAGAGAAATAGGTGCAGTTTTGGGATATGTGACATCATCTCATGGTACTTCACTGTGAGAACTGAGAATCTGCAGTATACCGTCTTTGGTCTTGGATTTGCTGTATTGGTAGTCTTGCTAGTATTTAATTGGGTCTTGATGAAATCTATTGTTCTTTTGCAGGTCAATTCCAAAGGCTACAAGGTGTATGGAGCTGGGAGCAGCCTCTATGGGGGCACAATCACCATTAATGCCCGCAAGGTAATGACAGGGGCTTGGTTGCGGGCAAGAGGAAGAAGAAAGGAGAGCTTGTGCATGGGGTCATAGATTGGAACAGAATTTAGACACTTATTTTAGATAATGTTAGATCCTTTGCCACATATATGGCTACTCTGGGCAAGCCGTTTTGTCTGTATACAAGTTTCCTGCTTAAGAAACAGACCTGATGGAAGCAGACTTTGTCTGACTTGGTAATGTTACCTGACTGTTTAGTCTGTAATTTCTGTTACTGCTTGAACAGTTACTTCATTAGTACCTTCAGGAGAGACATTTAGGATTTACAAGCAGTTTATCCCCAACAGTTTGAGGAGATGAATGCAGAGCTGGAAGAGAATAAAGAGCTTGCTGGGAATCGTCTCAATGAATTGGAGGAACTACGCCAGGATCTTGAGGAAGTAACAACACAGAATGAAAAACTCAAGGTGAGACATCTGCACCTGTTTGAGGATGAATGTGTTTTGTGTAATGGGCTGCCATTTGCTTTGCTTTGCTGTGTCCAGAAAACCTCACTAGCTCTATTCTATTCTGTGCTTCCTCTCTCAGCAATGTTACACTTAGTACAAGGTACAATGTAGCAAGTTTGGGACTTACCCTTGCAGTTCATTGTGTTGGTGACACCATGTGGTCATTGTTGGAAATTGGAATGTTTTCCTTCTTGTGTTCCATTCTGATCTTTTCTGGACATGATGTCTGCTTGAAACTGCTTTCACCTCATTACAAGTATAGTCTTCTTCCACCTTCCCCACACCCTGTGCAAGAGGAGTCACAGAAGTGAAAAAATTGGGAAACCTGTGTAGAGAGAGGGGCTCTTGAGAGAGTCAATGAATTTTTGTCTTTCAGAGTGTGGGAGAATGGATAGATAGAAAACAGCATATGAGTTTCTGATATTTTAAAGGTGGTAACACAAAAAGCTGTGACTGTAGTACATAAGTATACGATGGAGGGAATAATCCAAATGTCATCTTAGTGGTCAGATCTGTTAGCCTGTTACAAGAAATGTCTGACTATATAACCTAAGTTCAAGACATCTGGTTCCGGGAACTTTCTTGAGGCACCTCTGAACACTGTTTATCCACATGAGTTTGTTTTGAGAGAACCACTCCTCAGCTTACAACTTCTTTTTTCTCTTCAATGGTGTTAGGGTGTATGTGTCTATATATATATATATGTGTCTTTTTCATGGCTGGTAGTCACAATCATTCACTAACTTTTTTTTGTAAGGAAAACTCAGATTCTATACCTGTTTTTTTTTTCTCATTTCTCTTCCTTTTAATCACTGTGTCTTACTGGTAACAGGCTAACATAATGCCTTCTATCACATGCATTTTCTCTAGTCTGTCATACTTTTCTGTGTGTCCATCCTTATTGATTTAGGTGATTACAGTTTACAGTGAATCACTTGAAAATGTGTATTATGTTTTCCAAGTTCGTATCTTTGAAAGCAACTATTTCAGAATCCAAGGGTGAAAAATTTTGTCATATGACTCTGCAAGACAAGCAGCCTGGTGCACTCAGAGAAAGCATAGACCTTTTAAATTGATATTGAAGCATATTACTTGCACCTACTCCACAGCAATGTTATTGAAGTTCTGCTTTTGTCTTTTCTTGTGGCAGCTTGATTCACTGTTCTCCTACCTTGTGAAATAAAAACCAAAGGCAAGGGGATAATTTTTGTGGCATTTTCTTGTGTCCCTGCTGTGAACCTGCTAGGTTGAGCTGCGACGCGCAGTAGAAGAGGCTGTGAAGGAGACCCCGGAGTACCGCTGCATGCAGTCCCAGTTCTCTGTTCTGTATAACGAGAGTCTGCAGCTGAAGGCACATTTGGATGAGGCCCGCACGCTGCTCCATGGCACCCGCGCCACACACCAGCGCCAGGTGGAGCTCATTGAGGTAACACGTCTGCTCCACCAGACCAGGGAGCACTGCTGGCTCTGAGTAGGTCTGGGAAAGCTCAGGAGATTTACATTTCTGGCAATAATTCAGTCTTTTCTGGTACTTCATGTTGATGGGGTGAGAGAGCAGGTTCAAAGCATTAGTCTCTGTTCCCTTTTCACTCCTCAGAGGGATGAGGTCAGCCTGCACAAGAAGCTGCGCACGGAGGTGATTCAGCTGGAGGACACCCTGGCACAAGTCCGCAAAGAATACGAGATGTTGAGGATAGAATTTGAACAGACTCTTGCTGCCAATGAGCAAGCAGGTATGGTGGTGTTCTGCTGTGCCTAAAAACAAATACCACCTGCCCCCCAGTGCTGTTAGAGGCTACACTGCAGGAAAACACCCGGGTTGATTCTTTGTTATTGTCAAATACTTGTTCTGGCAGGTCACTGTATCTCTAAAAACAAAGCTCTTCCTGTGTTTGTTTGGGAGGCCAGTTCCATGTTATCTGACTTCCATTTACATGCTGCATGATACATATATTTTGCTAATAATTTGGTTTATGACAGGGTATTTTTTAAAATTAAAAATTACTTGGAAGGGGGAGGATTAATTTACAAGTGTGGAATGACAACCTGAATAGGAAAGCAGTAATTTTCTAATATCACCAGAGGAAATAAAGAAGTTATTTCTAAAATAGCATTTAAATCGTAGAGGTTTTTCGTAGCATGACATATTTCCCTTAGAATCTTGGGGAAAAAAGTAATGGTAATGGGAAATTGGGACTGTACATGACTTTTTTCTGCAAATCTGTTGTGTTGATCTGTTGTGTGGCAGAATGCTAATAGTCTTACTTTGGTTCTTTGTCACTGATACTTAGCTTCTTTTCCATCTCCATGAAAGTCTTTGCAGGGGGTTGACCAAAGTGTGGTTTGTTACGGTTGCGTTTCTGTTTTTATAGGCCCAATTAACCGGGAGATGCGTCATCTCATCAGCAGCCTCCAAAATCACAACCACCAGCTGAAGGGAGAGGTGTTGAGATACAAACGAAAGCTGAGGGAGGCCCAGTCTGATTTGAGCAAGGTATCACAGCAGGGAATGCCAGAAAAGGGGAGGGAGTGTTTAGGAGGAGGGGAAATGCTGTCACCCTTGCCTGCAATATCAACCTTTCTGATCTACCATGCAGGATGCCCTGCACTCTTCTACCTCCTTTTACCAAATGAATGGTATTCCTTTTAGCAGTGTAGTGCTCCATGAAAAGCAGTAGCAGTTACAAAGGGGTCATGGAATCATGGATTGGGGGAGGCAAGGGAAAGGTAGATCCCTGGCTAAGAACTTAATGATTTATGTTCTTCTGTGTTATCTTTCTTGCTGTTCCACAACAGATCCGCTCTCGTAGTGGGAGTACTCTCTTACAGGCCCAGTCCAGCACTGAAGACACAAAAGAGGAACCTCCAGAGATCAAGCAGGAACCTGAGGATCCTTCTGCCCAAGTGTCTGTCCCCAAGGCTGCTGCTGAAGATGTAAATGAAATGAAGGCCAGGCGAGATGAAGAGGAACGAGAGCGAGAGAGACGGGAGAGAGAGAGGGAACGAGAGAAGGAAAAAGAGAAAGAGAGAGAACGAGAAAAAGAGAAAGAAAAGGAAAAGGAACGAGAGCGGGAAAAGCTGAAGCAGAAGGAATCTGAGAAAGAGAGAGAATCCAAAGAGAAGGAGAAGGGGAAGCATGAAGATGGAAGAAAGAAGGAGGCTGAAGTGATCAAGCAGCTGAAGGCTGAGCTCAAGTAAGAAAGAGTTGTTGTCCCTTTCCTGCTTGAGCAGGGGTGTTTGTGTGAGACGTGTTGTAGCTTGCTCTTACAAGATTGGTGTCACTGAAATGAAGGGGAGTTTCCTGGTACCCTCCATACGTGGTTGTGATCTGGTCAATGTAGTAGTGTTCCTATTACAACAGCCTACAGCATGAGTTACCAAAACAGATACTTCATGATATGGATAAAGTAATATTTATTTGTTGCTGTCATAACAGTTGTGTAAAACTTTACAGCAGCAAGTTATTAATGAAAAACACAGCAGTCTTCCCTCTCCTGGATCCTTACCAGAGCAGAGGTGGATAGTTTTGCAGCTTACTATTAGAGTACATGTTTCCACCCCACTTTCCTTGGCTTTTCAGCCCATGTACCTGAACTTGTTTCTTTTTGAGTCTGTACTCCTTGACTGGTTTATGTTACCAGGGTAAGATGAGCCAAAGAGGACTCCATATCCACATGGGAGATGGAGAGAATATTGCTCACTCTCCTGCTGGCTATGTAATAGGGTGGCTTTCCTGCCATGTTCTCACAGTCTGTCTCCCTCTCTCCAGGAAGGTCCAGGAGAGCCAGAAGGAGATGAAGCTGTTGCTCGACATGTACCGCTCTGCCCCCAAAGAGCAGAGAGACAAAGTGCAGCTGATGGCAGCTGAGAAGAAGGCAAAAGCTGAGGTAAGTGTAATTTCTCTTCCCTTTTGTTCTTTAGTGTGTTACTTAAAACATCTTTTCTCTGCACCAGAACTGTGTTACTTCACTCTTCAAAACTGATGACATGTTTTCTCAGCTTTGTCATTTAGAAGAGAATTTGGAGTGGTCTGGATATGAACAGGGAGATTCTGGGATGTTTTTCTCTGGGAAAGGATGATGCCTTTGCCCTGGCTGAAACAAATGGTTCCCACTTTCTCAGTCACAGATACAGGTGGCAGTGGAGATGAGCACACATCCCAGAGATACACAGCCAGTCAGACTGTCACAGACCAGGGGCTTCCTTCAACAGCATGTACATGTAGAACTCATGAAACGAAAGCATAGATGAGTTCCTTCCTATTCAGCTGATACATGCAGAATGTCACTAGTGCGGGCACATGCACACACCCATCTCCAGGTTCACAGGCACACACAAGTACCAAGCACACTCCTCTGTGTGTTTCGTACCTCTGTCGTTCCAGGCCCCTTTTACCTTCACAAACGGTCTCACCTATAGCTAACACTTACTCTGGGCAGCACATACAACATGAGGTAAAGAAGTAGATTACACAGAGATAGTTAAGAAAATATCTAATATAAAGATACAAGAAGATAAGACAGGCTGCAGTGATCATGTGCAGAACTAAGCGAGACAGGTGTGTACTGACTGCCTGCATTTTACATGTGACTGGCTCCTTTTACACACTTCTCTGTCTAATGGCAGTTTGTTCATCCTTGCTCTCCCTTTCCCTGCACATCACTTCTGGGTTTGCACAGCTCTGTCAATTCCCACAGCCCTCACAGTTCAGGATCCACCCCTGGCTTACAGTTTTACCAGTTACAAAGTCTGAGTTGATCTTCCTGGAAGTGCTGCCTATATTTTCTTGGCAGTCACTGTTGTGACTGGGGAGGTTTGCTTCATCTGTTTGTTTTGTCAGGTCTGTGTCTCTACATATATTATTTCTGGTTTCCTCATTCTCCCAAAGTCACATAACCTTGTTGGAATAAACATTCTCCCAAAGTCACATAACCTTGTTGGAATAAACATTCTCACAGTCTCATGTGCTCTCATCACTTTGTGTGACTGTCCAGGTTATCACTGTGTTGCCTTAAAATGGGGAGCAGAAAAAACTCACAAGTATAGATAAGATAGAGAACAGCTCTTTAATGAAGGCCTTTTGGTGCAAGGAGTATGAAAAGACGGGTGCCCGTGTCCAGTGGTTCCACAATTTTATAGTATTATCCATCCACCCTTCAGATCCTCCCCAAATCTGCCCCTTGGCACACCTCTCTGGAATTGAGTCAGGGAGTTCTAAGACCCCTTTCTTCCTAATCTTCTTTACAACACCTGCTGTCTTTGGAGATACTCCAAGGTTCCAGGCTTGAAGTTTGCTTTGACTGTGATAGTATCTTGTTGTTCAGGCCTGGGGTGCAAATGTTTGTAAACAGAATGTGTTTACTATAATTGTGCCTTGAAAAGGAGCCTAAACAAGCCTAAAGAATTTAGAAAACTCAATATGAAATAGGGGAATAGGGTTTGGTGAGTATTAACTACTTTTCTAAGTGTGACAGACTATACAGCTACATTAAAATCTACAAAAAGCTGAAAATCCTAAGGCATCGACTGCCTCCTTTACCATTTGTCTTCCAGATTTGTGTCTCTCTATGTTTTGTTTTACTTCCTTGTTCTTATCTCTTTCTGTATTGAAGCAGGTCCTTGACTGAAGGCAGTTTCTTCAGTGTTTCAGAGAACTGCGGGTAAAACAGACACTTAAAAATGTTCAGGCCACATCCTTGTGTTAAGAGATGTTTGTGGTTTGTCCTTGCTGTAGCTGGAAGAACTAAGGCAGAGGGTGAAAGAATTGGAAGACAAGGAGAAAAAGGAGAGTAAAAAGATGGCTGATGAGGATGCCCTCCGCAAGATCCGAGCAGTGGAGGAACAAATTGAGTATTTACAGAAGAAACTAGCCATGGCTAAGCAGGTGAGAAATTCCTGATGAGTTCTGTCTGGATGGAGCACTTATGAAGGAACTGACTTCAGGTTGCAGCCAGGAAGATTATCTGAGAGATATCTGTATGGGCCGGAGATGTGCGTTTGGTCCTTGTTTATTGAAGGGAAAAAAATGAACACGCAAAAACCCCACCAACAACTGTCAAAACCCCCACAACTGGAGAGTGTCACAAACCTCATGGCATGTGATGGGGAGGAATGTTTAGTAATGATTAAACATGTGGCCTTGGTGAAGACCACATGTTGGTTGGAGGAGAAACCCTGAATCAGCCACTAGGGGAGGAGGTTACAGTTTATTTGTAAAAGTTATTATCTGTACAAGTTCATATAGTGCATATGTTTGCATGGTGCTGGTACATACCCTTTTCTACAAAAAAGGGCTTAATCCAATGACAGAGCAGGACCACCTCAGTAGGAGAGAGGCAAGACAATGACTTGACATGTACTTTTTTACATTTCAGATTCTTTTAGCTATAGAACAGAACTGGTCTGTCTTGTCACTTACTCCTTTAATGTTGAAGAGGTCAAAGTGAGTCTAAGGGGCTTGGCAGTGTGTTAGTTGGATGCTGCCAAGCTGTCCACATGTAGAATCCCTGGCCTAGTGTATCTGACAGCTGTCCAGGTAGCTGCTGGAAGTTGAGAGTTGATTTCTGCCCAGCTCTGGCAATGACTGTGCCACAGCTGATTCGGCCAGCAGACAAGCCACAGTCAGTCTCTGAATGCTTGTACAGCTGGCCATCACTTTTCTACACCTTCAAATTCACAGTATCTCCACTGTGGTGCAGATTTCTAGGGAGCACTTTCCTTTCGTTTTTGGGAAGATACTGTTCTTTGATACGGAGATATCTTCCTTCGTCTGTGCTAGGTTTAGTGTCTGAGTAAAATGTTCAGGGTCACTGCAGAGGGTACAGGAGACAATATTGCGAGAGCCTGTGATTGTTTTGCAGGAGGAAGAGGCCTTGCTGTCTGAAATGGATGTCACAGGCCAAGCCTTTGAAGACATGCAAGAGCAGAACATCCGCCTGATGCAGCAGCTGCGGGAGAAGGATGATGCCAACTTCAAGTTGATGTCAGAACGCATCAAGTCCAACCAAATCCACAAGCTCCTGAAAGAGGAGAAGGAGGAGCTGGCAGACCAAGTTTTGACACTGAAGACACAGGTAACTTGGGAAAAGAGAGGACAACAGGACTGGTGGGAAAAGGTGGAGGTGTTGTGGGTTATCTCTGGTAGGCAGCTCCAAACTGGATCAAGGGAGAGAATCAGAAAGGCAAAAATGAGAAAATGAATGAGTTGAGATAAAGGCAGTCCAACAATTACAGGAAAGATGTGCACACAAGCAAAGCACAAAAAGTGAATTAATTCAGCACTTCCCATGGCAGGCAGGAGTTTAGCCATCTCTGGGAGAGCAAGGCTCCATCATACATAATTGTTACTTAATAAATGCTGCAACTTGGAACACCCTCCCACTCCTTCCTTTCCACCAGCTTTTATTGCTGAGCACAGCATCACATGGTATGGAATACCCCTTGGGTCAGGTGGATCAGCTGTCCTGGCTGTATGGTATCCCAGCTTCTTGTGCACCCTCAGCCTACTTGCTGGTGGGTAGCATGAGACACACAAGGTCTTGATGCTGTGTAAGTACTGCTCAGCAATAGCTGGAAGGGTAGGTATTGACATTGGTTTTCTCCCAAATGCAAAATACAGCAGCATGTGAGCTGCTGTTAAGAGAATTAACTGTATCCCCACCAAAATCAGTATAGGAGGGAATGTTCCCCTATCAGCCTAGCAATGGTGTGTCAGACTTCAAAGATACCTATCTCAGTAAGAAAGTGAGACTGCTGTATGGAGCATGAAATGTCCTAGAGGTTCATTGCTATTGAGAACAGATGGGAGAAGGCAAGTGGGAAGTAATTTTCATGTTGTAATGATACTACCTGTATATTCTACATATATCCATATATGTTGGTAACAAGCAGGAGAAGCTGGAAACTGTGATTCAGGTAGAACTGTCTCAGACCTTAGTACAAGTACAGGCTGGGAAAGAAGTCATTGAGCCCTGTGGAGAAGGAGGTCCTGGTGGATGAAAAGCTGGACATGGGCTGGCAGTGTGTGCTGGCAGCCCAGAAAGCCAAACATGTCCTGGGCTGCATCAAAAGCAGCCCTTGTGAAACCCCACCTGCAGTGCTGCTTCCAGCTCTAGGGTCCTCAGCACAGGAAGGACATGGACCTGTTGGAACAAGTCCAGAGGAGGCCACAAATACGATCAGAGGGAATGAGCACCTCTGCTACGAGGACAGGCTTGGAGAAGGGTCTGAGGAGACCTCATTGCGGCCTTCTTGTATCTGAAGGTGGCTTAGAAAAAAGAGGGAGAGTAACTTTTTGTGTGAGCAGATGGTGACAGGACAAGGGACAATGGTTTTAAACTGAAAGCAGGTTTAGATTGGATATTAGGAAGAATATCTTTACTCAGAGGATGGTGAGGCCCTGGCACGGGTTTCCCAGAAAGGTTGTAGGTGCTCCATCCTTGGAAGTGCTCAAGGCAAGGTTGGACAAGGCTTTGAGCAACCTGGTCTAGTGGAAAGTGTCCCTGCCCATGGCAGGGGTATTGGAACTGGATGATCCTTAAGGTCCCTTCTGATCCAAGCCATTCTATTATTCTGTATTCTGCCATCCTTGGAACTAAAGTGGAAACTATGCACTGCCTTACAGCAATTCCTTAAACCACTGTCCAAAAATTAAGACATCTTTATTGCAAATATTTGCTAAGGTTTAAAGTGCTCACCAGAGAGATCTGGGTACAGCTCTTAGCCTGCTGGGTGACTGTTCAGGGAGAAAAAGGCAAGCTGAAGCTCCTTGGTGCTGGGAAGACAGGGATAGTTTGAACATGCAGCTTTAGTGGCAGCTCTGAAGACCCGCAGAGTGTGTATTTCATTCCTTCTGCACCTTCTCTCCTGCTTTCCAAGGTGGATGCCCAGCTGCAGGTTGTACGTAAGCTGGAGGAGAAGGAACACTTACTGCAGAGCAGTATTGGCACAGGAGAGAAGGAGCTGGGTCTGCGAACACAAGCCCTGGAAATGAACAAACGCAAGGTGAGTGAGTGATTCCCTCTTGGACTGTAAGATGGAGCTGTTGCCTAGCGGGAGGCAGAGCAGGCTCTCAGCTCTCACTGGTGTTACAGAACCTGATATTCCCTGGTTTTGGACAGAAGGCTTAGGAGTCTTGAAGAGAATACTGATTAAAGTACTGTAGACTGATGTTTCCTTTGATAAGGAGGAGCAGGTCATATGTGTTTCTTTGAAAGGCTGATCAGAGAGCTGAAGTAAGGTGTCTTTATAGGAAACCTGTTGTCAAAGAAGAGGTGGCAGACAGATGAAGTTAACTGGGGTCAAAGCTTTTACAGGAAAGATGGGATAAATAAAGGGGGAATGGCTGGGGAATGCTAAGACTTTAAACAGATGTCTAAGATCAATAAAGTAGATCTGTTACCAGTAAAATAAGACTAAGTCATGGTTGATTCTGCCTTTGCTTTTAGAGTTTTAGTAGAAATGCAGGAATGACATTAAAATAGGCAGAAAGGAAGGCAGAAATATAACTGAAGAGGAGCTGGGGGGAATTCAGCACAGTCACTTGTGCGTAATATGACAGTCTGTGGTATTAAGGGAACTTGGTTAGAAGGTTATGGGAGAACTGGTGAAGAGAAAAATGCTTAATAACACTTATCTTGAATTTCCGTCTACTTCACTCATAGAACTGCCTCTAAACAGGAGAGAAAATGTGGAGGCTGGAAGGCTGAAAATACATGAAGAAGAAAATTATGTGGTCATTAGTGCTTTTCTAAGAGACATGCTTTGCACTGTGACAGGGTTTGGCTCTGCTGAAGAGGGATCTTGGAGCTAAATGATTAGAACTTAATAATAAGGTATTTTGCCATTGAAGTGATGCTTAGGGAATAATTCCAGTTATTTCACTTGGAAGTACTAAAAATAGATTGAAAAAACAGAGCTTCATCAGCCTGAGTAGTATTCTGTGAGGAGTCTTGAATTGCCAGGCAGAGGGACTAGAAATCACTAGAGTTGTTTTTCCACATTTGGTACTTCTATACTGGTTTTCTTTTTCAGGCTATGGATGCAGCCCAGCTTGCAGATGATCTGAAAGCCCAGCTAGAGCTGGCTCAGAAGAAGTTACATGACTTCCAGGAGGAGATTGTGGAAAACAGAGTAACTAGAGAGAAAGAGATGTTTAACTTCAAAAGGGCTGAGGTATGTACCCTATGCACAGTCCTATAGTATCTGTCTGCTTTAGCATCCATCTCCTTGGACAGTGAGCTTGGAGTGGGTTTCAACTACACTATTTTGGTGTCCACTTTCACTTTGACTCAGCTTCACCAGGTCTTGGCTCTTTCAGGTTTTGCCCACTGATAACTGACAATACTTGTGGCATCAGATAATGTTGGATTATTGGGGATGAATGTATGGGTTGCACAACATAGCCAGATGCACTGTTGGCATGTTCTCTTTGGTCCCTGAAGAAGCTGTGACAGAGAATATGCTGCTCATTCACTTATTTTCTTGTTTTTACGCAGGAAGACATTTCTAGGTTGCGCAGGAAACTGGAGACCACAAAGAAACCTGACATGGTTCCCAACTGTGATGAGATACTAATGGAAGAAATCAAGGATTACAAGGTGAGTAGTTGTCTTTATTAACTTCCCTCTTCAGTCAAAAAGCTTTGTAGACACGCTTTGAGTATTTTGCATCTCTTATCCGTAATTGGGCATGGAGGGGCCTTCATCTCCAGACACCTTTTAACACCTCTAATCGAACACAGTGGGCCCTCACAGTAACATCTGTGTGTTGCAGGCCCGTCTGACCTGCCCGTGCTGCAACATGCGCAAGAAGGATGCTGTGCTCACCAAGTGCTTCCACGTTTTCTGCTTCGAGTGTGTGAAGACGCGCTATGACACCCGGCAGCGCAAATGCCCCAAGTGCAACGCGGCCTTTGGGGCCAACGACTTCCACAGGATCTACATTGGCTAATCCCAGGAAACTGCTGCTCACGCTGACCACCCAGCCTCCCTTCTCACCTTCTGCGGCTGCCACCCACAGGGCAGTCATGGCTTCTGTCAGCTGATCTGCAGTGTCTTCTGGGAAGTGTGGTTAGGGTATGGAAAGAAACAGATTCCAGATCTTGGTTCTTTTTTTGCCCTCTTTCCTTTTGTTCTTGCTTTTGTTTTTTTTGGATATTTTGTGCCTGAGACGAAATATTCCATTCATCACTATCACACTGCTATGCTGGGAACCTCTGACTGACGTCCTGCCTTGATGCGATGGAAGCTGTCTGTGGTGCAGCAGAGATTAGTGAGACCTATATTATTATGAGGAGTTTACTTTGGATGTTAATTAAATCCCATCAAGGTATGGTAGTGCTTCTGAGAGTGAATAGTTTCCCAGTTAACAGGCCAAATAACTGAATCTTTAGACTTCAGTGGAGTGACTCCTTAGGTATGTATTTTCCTGAGTCAGGGCAAGAACCTCTGAGGGCTGGTGTATTAGTAAACATCCTGCCTAGCCCCAAAAGCACACACATACATCTTAATATCCAGAAGAGGAGAAAGATAAGATGTCAGAGAATCTTAGAAAATAGCATTCCACTGATGAACTCTGGTTGATATGGACACCTTCCCCTAGGCTGAGGCATCACCATCATTGTCCTTATAAAATAAGGATTTTTAGGGGTTCCTTTGTTGCAGCTTTGCCACAAAGATGAATTCTTTATGCACAAAATCTAATTAAAGCTGTTGTGTTTTTTTCTGGTTTTCTTGCCTCTGGTAGTATTTGCCTGGTCTCCTGTTCTTTGTCCACTTATTAGAAACATTTTTCACAAGTTTTAAGCTTCTGAAATAGAGAGACTAACTTCTTCCTTCCTCCACCTTCACATTATGCATGACTGAAACAAGTTTTGTCCTTTTGGATGTTACTCCAGTATCTTATTCTTGACACAAGAGAAGAGCCAAGATGCTGGACTGTTTCTGCAGCCGTTTTGACATTGCTGTTGTGAATTTTGAGAAGGGATGTGGCATGGGTTATAGTCTCTATGCTTCCTCTGGTTGGAGGCTGTATTTTAAGTCTGCTCCTAAAAGCAAAACGTCAAGTAATTTATTTGCAACTTCCTTCACAGGGTGTAGTGTTTCTCCTGTAAACTTCATTTTCTTGGAAGGTGCACCTCTCAAGAGGTTTGTCTCATGTGTGTCTCTTCCCTGAACCATGAAATCTGTGCTACCTTCCTGTGTTCACCATGGGAAATAGTAGAAATAGCAGTAATAGAAATAGTAGTAAAATGAATTAATCACAGACTGTCTTACAGTATGCATTATTATATTTCTGAAAATATTCAGAATATATGAATAAAATCTTGTAAATTATAATGAACCCTGAAAAGAGAAGAAACACGTGGCCCTGCCAAGGTAAAGCTGGGATGCTGAGAGCTTCTGGTATGGTGTAAGTGCTGTTAGAAGAAAGGAAAGTAGAACCCTCTCCTCTTTCACTGCAAATTGCTCCCTGGATTACAGTTTGCGGCATCAAGTCAGGGAAAGAGCCATATGTTAACGCTGGTTGTAGATTGTGAGGTACAAATCCTTGTTCATCAAAATTAGGACCTGGGTCAACAACAAACTGCATCTTCAAACAGCTTTGCTACAACAGCAGGCTTCCCTTTACAGCTTTGAACAACCATCTAACTAAACAGACCTTGAACAAAGCCCGTTGCTCCTCTCCCAGTCACAAAGTTGCATCACCTTTCTACTGAAATCAGCACAGATTTAGGAGGGACGGGGCCTATTTGACCAACCTGATCTCCTTTTATGACCAGATGACCTGCCTGGTGGATGAGGGGAAGGCTGTGGATGTGTCTATCTGGACTTCAGCAAAGCCTTTGACACTGTCTCCCATAATATACTCCTGGAAAAGCTGCAACCCATGGCTTGGACAAGGGCACTCTGTGCTGGGTTAAGAACTGGCTGGAGGGCCAGGCCCAGAGAGTGCTGGTGAATGGGGCTGCATCCAGCTGGCGGCCGGTCACCAGTGGTGTCCCCCAGGGATCAGTGCTGGGCCCAGTCCTGTTTAACATCTTTACTGATGATCTAGATGAGGGGATTGAGTCCATCATCAGCAAACTTGCAGATGACACCAAGGTGGGAGGGAGTGTTGACCTGCTGGAAGGTAGGAGGGCTCTCCAGAGGGACCTGGATAGGCTGGAGGGTTGGGTTGATTCCAACGGGATGAAGTTCAACAAGGCCAAGTGCCGGGTCCTGCACTTTGTCCACAACAACCCCTGCAGCGCTACAGGCTGGGCACAGAGTAGTTGGAGAGCAGCCAGGTGGAAGGGATCTGGGGCTGCTGATTGACAGGAGGCTGAACATGAGCCAGCAGTGTGCCCAGGTGGCCAAGGTGGCCAATGGCATCCTGGCCTGCATCAAGAACTGTGTGGCCAGCAGGAGCAGGGAAGTGATCCTTCCCCTGTACTCAGCGCTGGTGAGGCCGCACCTGGAGTGCTGTGTCCAGTTCTGGGCCCCTCAGTCCAGGAAAGACATTGAGGTGCTGGAGCAGGTCCAGAGAAGAGCAACCAGGCTGGTGAAGGCACTTGAGCACAAGTCCTGTGAGGAGAAGCTGAGGGAGCTGGGGTTGTTTAGCCTGGAGGAGGCTCAGGGGAGACCTCATCACTCTCTACAACTCCCTGAGAGGAGGTTCTAGCCAGGTGGGGGTTGGTCTCTTCTCCCAGGCAATCAGCAGTAGGACAAGAGGGCATGGTCTTAAGCTCTGCCAGGGGAGGTTTAGGTTGGATATTAGAAAGACGTTCTTTACAGAGAAAGTGATCAGGCATTGGAATGGCCTGCCCAGAGAGGTGGTGGATTCAGTGTCCCTGGAGGTTTTTAAGACGAGGCTGGATGTGGCACCGAGTGCCATGATCTAGTAATCCCAGTGGGGTTGGGTCAAGGGTTGGACTTGATGATCTCGGAGGTCTCTTTCAACCCATAATTCTATGATTCTATGATTCTATTCTATGAAACTTTTGTGTGTATGCTGGCCACATTGAGACCACTCTCGTCATGGTAGGAAAGAGATACTTGAAACAATCTGGATCAGTTTCACATAGGAGATTTGGAAACTCCTATTTTCTCTTTCCTTATCAAGAAAAATGTTAGTGGTTTGTTTTAAAAATAATAATTTTTAATAGTTTTCAAGCTAATTTTGGAAGTCACTGAATTTCTGTCTGTGCTTGTAATTTAAACATTGAGAAACAGTGAAAATTTTAGATGGTCCGTTGGCCAGAATGGGTAGAAATAATGCAAATAATTAAAAACTTAACAGGACTAGAAGCGTGGGGGTAAAAGTAAAGGGGTGACAAGTATTATCAAATGTCCCTCTAAATTCAGAGTTTTAGGTGACAAAGAAAAAGCCTTATCTCCAGTCTCCAGTGCACCCTCAGTCACAGCAAATCCTCCCCCATGACATGTCACTGACATCCATGGAAAGCTACAGCAATGTTTTCTGTCTTCTAGGGAATCAAGCTGGAGCAATAACTGAAGAAAATAACATGCCAAAATACATCTCTCTCGGGCAGCAATAATTAGATCTTCTCCTGAAAGGTTCTAGCTGGTGCTGCGGTAATTTGGAGCAATCCCTATTTTACATTTGACATGGGAGCAGCCCCTCAGGCATCCATCAGAAATGAAGATATTTGCATAACATTAATTATTAGGTGGTGAACATTCTTACAGTTATATTTTTGGCTTTAAAGGCAGGCTCATTTTTTGCAGGATTGGGTGTTTGGGTTGGAACTTTGAGGCAAAACATATTTGTGTTTAAGATACTAACATTTTCAGTTAATTTTACTTTTTTTAAAATTTATTTCTGTGCTTATTCTGTGGAGATAAGGACATTAAAAACTTGAGAAAAATACTTGTAAGATTAGACTGAAATCTTTTTTTCCTAGTGTTTTAACTAGGAGAAGCAAGCAGTGTTTATCTGTTCTAGGCAAGTGCTGTTGGAAGTTGTGACGTACCAGGTGCTACACAAATAAAAAGCTCTTCCTAATAAAGCTAAATATCCAAATGAGGGAGGGAGGGGAAGGAAAGGCAACAAAAGCATCGTCAGTGGCTTGCCCACTTGGCTTATCAGGAGCAAGGAGAGCAGGGACATTCCAGGTCTCTTAGATGTGCAAGGCTGTGGATCCCACCTTCTTGTTTTATATTCTGATTTCTCTTTCCTGTGTTACTGACTGTATTAAAAGGGGTAGACACACCTGCTGCCCAAAATCAGAGGCCAAGGACTGAGCAGGGAATAAAATATGAACTCCTGATGAGGCTAAGTAGTCATTAGCTTTTAGAGGTCCGTGCAGAGCTTTTCATTTGCAAGAGATTTTTCAAAGGTTAGAGGTGCAAAAAGGTAAAGTGTCTTTTCCAGACCCCAAAATATAGTTTCAGATCTGCCTGTAGCATTTTAACTGTGCCAGACAAGAACATCACCTTGGGCAACATTTATGCAGGTGGCTGGAGACAAAGGGAGGATAAAAGGTATTTCAGAGACCAGAGTTAATTCTGACAGCGTTACAAAACATTCTTTTTCTCTGTAATATGGGATGGGTTGGGAAGCAGTGTTTAAAAATGGATAGAAATCCTACTCAAAAGACACAATCAGCTGGGTTGATGAAGTATTTATTCAGATGTTCAACAGCTTACCGGTCCTTCCCCCCCTGCCCATCATCCAGGTAGGCAAGGGCTCCACTCGGTACATTGCCTTTGAAACCACAACTCTCATTCTCCTTCATCTGTAGGGAGGCCTTTGCTCCCCAGCTCTCATTCTCCTTCATCTGTAGGGAGGCCTCTGCTCCCCAACTCTCATTCTCCTTCATCTGTAGGGAGGCCTTTGCTCCCCCCTTTCACTTTGATGAAATGAATAATGGACAAGATCCCCTTTGTGTCACCTCGTCTGTGAGAAAGAACCCTACTATAGCTGAAGACAGTCATTATTAAGGGAGTAGTTTCACACTGGCAAAACACTTGACTTCTTGAGGTAAACACTGATTTACAGTACTGCCACCCTCTCTTCCCCCTTATTCTTGCTCTGTGCCACTGTGAATCCATCCCTTCAAACGTGCTGGTGCAGCTGTTTGCATGGCTGCTCCCTGGGTGCAGTGGAAGCCAAGCCTGGGCTCAGAAGCAGACGGAGGTGGTGGTTTGGTTTTTTCCAAGTTATTTTTTAAGCTGGGTGAGTTCCTTCACCACAGTCTCAGAGCAGCTGCATCTGCATTTGTGCTGACAGAGCTGAGGGAATGGTGTGTACTGAGTTTGCCACCAAGAGTTTTGTCTTGTGACCCTGTGCCAGGAGGGGAGGGACTGCCAACACAGAACTAGCACCTGGCATAATGAGGCATCCGTGAGGAGCCTTCACATGAACAGAGACTAGACCCACAGATAACACAACAAAAATGTACCAACAAGGGACATGCTGCCAATGAGCAGTTTACATTTTCTTCCTTTTTTTTTTTTTTTTTTTTTTAATCTTATTTTGAATTAATGCACAGAAAGGGCTGAAAAGGTGGGAACCTCACTGTACTGTCAAGTGGAGGAATGAGGAGCTCTCGCTGTTTGGATGCTCCTTGTCTCTCCAGGCCCTTGGGAATGGCTAGTGTTTTCAAGGAGAATGAGAAACTTGCTGTGAAAAGAAGACTCAAGAGGGTGGCAGTGGCTGTGGGCTGCTGCAGTCCTGCTCCTGTGAAGAGCATGTTGCCTGCTTTATTTTTGCACCCCTTTCTGGCATTACAAAAGTGTGTTACAAATTTCACAGAGGAACGGGGGGAAAAGGAAGAAAAGGTGGAAGGGCCCAGGTGTCCTGGCCTAGGGCTCTGCAGTCCTGTTTGTCCTCTGATACTCTTCCAGCTCTGATTTCCTGTCCATGGCGAGCTGCAGCTCCTGCTTGATGATTTCGATCTGTTTCTCCAGCTCCGTGAGCTCCTGCATCACTGAGGTCCTTGCAGGGTTGAGGGACTCTGCTTTGCCATTGGTGGTTAAGGAAGCTGGGGCCTCCCTCCTCACCTGTGGCAGGGGGATGTCCTGGTGCTGATGGATTGTCACCTCGTTCTGCCCTTGGTCCGTGCAGATGTATTTTTTCCGGTGGCAGTTGCCCAGGTTGGCTGTGTTCCACACGGCATGCTGGCTGTTCCCTATGTGGGACCTGAACAGAGAGATGGGGGTTAATGCCACATCAGAGCCTGTTCTTGTGTGTGTGCAGCCCTCCCCTGTGAGCCATCCTACTGGAAAAATATGAGGCTGCTGTTACATATTACATGGAAA